GTGGGTTGCAGAGCGCATGAGAGGTAGAAAAGCAAAAGCTGGGACTAAGGATAACCCTTCTTTTGCAAGATTCTACCTGTGAAGGGGATGGGAAGATGAGGTGAGACATGGAAGAGGAGGGTGATAAGTGGAACAGGACAGTGATAGGACAGAAGGCAATTATTTAGGAACTAAATGATAAGGACAGACTGGAGGTGATTCAAATGCTGATGAGAAATAGACAATTGGGAAGAAAATGTTCATGAAGCAGGAGGCACAGGGGGGTGATAAGTGCAGAGGGGTCTCTGAGAAGTGGGGCTCACTTGGTCAGAGTGCAGTGGGATCTACTGGCCTTGGACAGGAGGACAGACCTAGTGCCAATTAACAACCAACCATAAAAACCCAGGCATATACACCAGAAAGCGTATATGTCCCCACTTCTGGAGTCAACTGGGGGTCAGTTAAGTGGTTCCACTGGTCTTGACTGGACTAACCGCTCTGGACTTCACTGCTGTCCACTGACCCGGAGGTGACTGGAGTGACTGGGCTCTGTTCCACGTGACCCTCAGCCTCATCTTGGGACTGGTGCTCAGCTCGGCTTGTCCCCCTCATGGTGATAGAGGGATGCACGGGAGCAGGCCCCAGTGGCCATGCCCATCTTCAGCCTCTGTTTGTCTTACCTCCTAATACCCCTCTAGCCAAAGGGTGTCATGTGACTGTGCCCAATCTCAAGTCATGGGACCCACATCGCAAAGTTAAATGGCAGAGAGCAAAGGTTCAGGGCAGGATGAAGAAATTATTAACACAGATAAAAGAGAAATACCATTTTGACATTTTGTCAGACACAAGAAGAAAAAGAAGTTTGCAAGTAACCAAGGGAAAAAGGCAAATTAAAGGCCGGGCTATTCACGCCTCTTCCATTCCCGCCCAGGTGCTGCTGCATTATTTATGTCTGGAAAGGTTAACGCTCGACTGTGGTTAACGAGGAAAGCAGTCTGGAGGGGAACACGGCTGATAGGGCCAGCGTCACCTTATAAAACTTAATGACAGCGAAGTCAGCTTTAGTGCTGTTGTAGAGGGAGGAAGCCTCCACCATCTCACAAAGTAGGTAAGCATCTGCTCGTGGGCAGAAGAAAAAAAATATTCTCTCCAAAGCTTGTTTACGAAAGATGAGTACTGGACTGTGAAAGAGTTTAAGAGCATATGTGAGAGAGAGAGAGGAGTGTCTGCAAGAAGGAGGACCAGACGGCTACGGCTTACAACCAGATTACACCTGGAAGGGCGAGAAGTGAGCTCCCGGATCAGTGAAGTCCAGGGAACAGGAACATGAGTCTGTGAGAGGGGGCGCTCTCCTCATTTTCTTCCTATTTCCAGGCGGGACCATTCCACAAATACCTCCTTCTGCTTTGGAAGCAGTACAGACGCAGGCTGCTCTGAATTTTATACATAACTGGCCCAGACGTACATGGTTCTTTTCCGCTGACACAAACCAGGGGTCTCCACATGGCGGCCCTCTCCATTCACTTCCTGTAGTGAGAAGTATTCCCTGTTGGAGCACTAATGAAATATCGTATCTCATTTTAGCCAAACTAACTCTCAGAAAATGGGCACATAACTTTAAAGTTTCCTGCAAAGAAATAGCAATTGAAAGTCAGACACCGCGGAAATGGCCGAGCGGACAGGAGCTCACCGCAGGAACCAGTTCTCCGCAGTCGGCCACACTGCCTGGTGGAACAGTAGTGATCTGCTCCTTCTAATGAGAATCAGCCAAATAAAAATGCAAATAATGAAGTTTATTTAAAATACTACATATTTGCATCCACTATCATAGACTGTCAGTAATTTGCCGCAGGTGTGTGTCGTACCTGACGCTATGCTGAATGTGAGAAGGAAGACATCCTGATTAGTAGAATATCCAAGAGTTGAGCAAATAGAACACAGACACCAACTTCTACAATAGCCTCAGCAATATTTTAAGGCAAATGATACTCAATCCAGTATTTTTTAAACATGTCACTATACCACAATAAAAAACATCTATTAAAGCTTCTTACTCAGGAAGATGCAAAAGACCACACATCTTTCTGTGCTCTTCCTTTGGTGGTAAAAATGGCTAAACCATGTGGAAAAGAGGATGGCCACAAACTAAAGTGGATTCCTTTATCAGTACACTAGTGGCCCGGTACATGAAAATTCGTGCACTCAGGGGGGTCCCTCAGCCCAGCCTGCACCCTCTCGCAGTCTGGGACCCCTCAGAAGATGTCCAGCTGCTGGCTTAGGCCCACTCCCTGCGGACATCCTTAGCGCTGCTGTGGAGGTGGGAGAGGCTCCCACCACCTCCACTGCACTGGCCAGTCGTGAGCAGGCTTCTGGCTGAGCAGCGCTCCCCTGTGGAAATGCACTGACCACCAGGGGGCAACTCCTGCATTGAGTGTCTGCCCCCTGGTGGTCAGTGCACTTCATAGCGACCAGTCATACCCGGGTTGTTCTGCTGTTAGAGTCAATTTGCATATTACCCTTTTATTATATAGGATAAGATTAAAAGAGGGTAGAATTTGTTGAAAGTTAGAAGAAACGAGTACAGAACAAATGACACCAACTGGGAGGTTTGTTTGGGGTATAAGTATAGATGTTGTCTAAGTTAATGGTATTACTAGGTTCTTTTCCAATAATGAATAGTATAAAGTGACTATTTTAGTGACTCTTTTAGTGAGTCACTAAAGGAAAGAGGCACTAGAGAAGATATGCTCTCCATGGAAAATTACTTCTTAAAAACTGAGTGAATGTTACCACCAGTGAAGCAGGTGGTTTGATTGGAGGAAAACAGGATTCAGAAGAAGACAGGCTACAGAGTTGCCCCATGTGTGAAATTTAGAGAGTAGTTTGTTTTTTTCCTAAGCAAGCGATTGCAGCAAAGAAGCGGAAGCCAGAGTTTTACAGGGTGGCACTCTCAAACCTGACTGTGTGTGTTTGGCATGACTGTGTGTATGAGTCAGCTGAGCCTTATTAAACTGCAGATTCTGAGTCAGTCTGTAGCCTGGCAGTCTGCATTTCTAAAAGCTCCCAGGCGACACTGATGTTCCTGGTCTGGAACCAGTAAAGAAATAGTAAAATAGTAAAGAAATATAGAATGTTAGGGTTGGTATTGATTTTTTAAAATATATTTTATTGATTTTTTACAGAGAGGAAGGGAGAGGGATAGAGAGCCAGAAACATTGATGAGAGAGAAACATCGATCAGCCGCCTCCTGCATACTCCCCACCGGGGATGTGCCCGCAACCAAGGTACATGCCCCTGACCGGAATCGAACCCGGGACCTTTCAGTCCGCAGGCCGACACTCTATCCACTGAGCCCAAACCAGTCAGGGCAGTATTGATTTTTTGTTGTTAATCCTCACCCGAGGATATTTTTTTACCATTGACATTTTAGAGAGAGTGGAAGGTAGGGGTAGAGACAGAGAGAGAGAAACATCAATGTTAGAGAGACACATGGATCGGTTGCCTCCTTCACATGTCCCAACGAGGGTTGGGATCGAACCTGCAATTGAGATACATGCCCTTGACCAGAATCCAAACCTCGACACTTCAGTCTGTAGGCCAACACTCTAACCACAGAGCAAAACCAGCTAGGGTAGGGTTAGTATTGATTTTATAAAAATAAGATCATTTACAATATAGTAAAATCTTTAGATTATTTTTTAGTGACATGGAGAGATCATATAAATCATTTGTGCACAGAGAGGTGTGCTGGTTCTATTGTGGCCTTAGGATGTGCTGCTGATGGTGCTTTTGCAAAAATACCATAGTTTTCCAAAATCTGGCCTTTTACATAATGGCAAATATCTAGTAATAGAATTCTATCTAGCGGGTATTAAATAAATTAGTTAATACACCTAATCTGTTTCTTAGAATAAAAGGGGCAGTTCACCAATGAATAAGAAAGTAACAGCTTTTCCAAAGAAACCTGTGCTAGGAAAGACTGCTGTGAAAATCGAGTAGTCATCATTATATGAATTTGCTGTTGAAACGACACTGCGCCACTTATAAAAACTTCCATGTCTTCACACTAAGAAACTAAATGTTCTTTAAAAAAAAAAAGGCGGGGGGGGGGGGGCATATGTAGCACTTTCAACAATAAAGATTTTTTTTAAAAAAAAACTAAATTTTCTAACATTTAAAATTCACTCACATGCTTAACTTTGAACACATTTTATAAAAATATAAAACCAAAGCTATATTCCATCCCTTCTGATTCATTTCTAAGAAAAGAATGTTGATATCGGGGACTATAGAATGGTGTTAGCTGAATTTTCACAAAAGCCTTTGCATAATTGGTGAATATGACTGAGCAATGAATACCATGATTCAGTAAGGGGGGACCAATATTGCATGCCTCCCGTTTGCATCTATGAAATATCTTTTCTTCCCTTTTGACAGCATTATAACCAAGTAAGAATACAAACCAAACATAGATCTAGCCCACTGAACAAGTATATCATGAAGTCCTAAACCAAGAATTTAAAACATAACAAAGAATATTCAATTGCATTGTTCTCACCAAGAATATTAATAATGTGTAAAAGACTTTAGTAAGAATAAAATGTTATCATTAAAAAATAAAATAATTATTTAAAAGCATCATTTGTTTCTTTTTTCTTATCCCTTTTAAATTTATATATTTTTATGTTATGTACATAAAACATAAGTACAATAGTACATTTAAATAATTTATGAATAATTTATAAATGAATACATATACTTTTTAAGGGGTTGTTTATTGTATTTTTATTTTTACCTAATGAGATGTGCAATCCCAAAATATCAGACGATACTGATATAAATTTACACATTTATAAATCCTGAACTCTGAATGGTCATTTTCCTTTATTCATTCTATAAACATTCATTACACGCAAATATTGTCTTAATAAGTGCTGTTTGCATATATATTCTAGAAGACATTTAACCTCAGGGTGATCAGGTTTTGTTAGCATTAAGCAAACATATAAATGAGCCATTACCTTAGAAAGAAGAAAAAGTTTTCCCTCCGGTTGGTTAAGCAGCTGTGCTGTGGAACGCCCCCGGTCTAGATCACTCCTTTAGAATACTCAGTATGCATTTCTTGCACCCCTAGTATGCCTGGTGAAGAAGTGTGAGCCAAGGGGAGGATGTGGTTCCAGGGATCTTAACGTGACTCAGTGGGATCCCTGCTGCTGACTCACGAGTCCACCCATTAGGCCAGCACTCTCCAGGGGAGCTGTGCAGAAAAGCCTAAATGCCCAAACGGGAGCTTTGTCTAAATGTTGCTTCACATTTCTGTGTAAGAGCTCTATCTCTTTCTTTAGAGAAAAAGAGTTTCTGAGGAATGCTTATCACAAAGACAGTTTGTATAAACTGCCCCTTGTGAAATCATTGCTGTGACTTTGCTAAGATAAGTCCTATTGTGCATAATCACTACTTTCTAGAAGGCCCGAGGAGAAAACTCAAAAAGAGGAGATATTTGACTCCTATTTGAAGACAAGTAGGAATTACTTTCTTAGCATTACAAAGAATCTGGGGCAGAATCCTGTGTTCAGGATAAGGGAATAGGTGGTTTTTCCTCTCTCTTCCTACTTCTGATATAGGGAAGAAAGCAAAAGAGCTGGTGCTGAGAAAAAGGGAGTTGAAACACCGGAGGAACTAAGTCATCAGCAGGCTTTACATGAGAATAGAGCTAGCAGCTGAGAGGAGCCACAAAGCTTTGCCACAGGAATCTAGTTTGAAGGTCCAGTTCCAGGGTCAGCCTGAGATGGAATTCATGTCAAAGTGAAAAGAACATTTAATTAGAATATGGCTATGGGAAAAGAGTTTGATTCAATGGTCATTAATAACTAACATACACAGAGAAAAAAGTGCTTTTCTTAAAAAAAAAAAGTGCTTATTCTCTAAGAATAAACACCTTTGTTGTTTTAAGTCTGCAATTTTTAAAAAGATACTATATAATTAACAATTAAAAAGTAAAAAATAGCCCTGACCGGTTTGGCTCAGTAGATAGAGCGACGGCCTGCCTGCGGACTGAAGGGTCCCAGGTTCAATTCCGGTCAAGGGCATGTACTTTGGTTGCGGGCACATCCCCAGTAGGGGGTGTGCAGGAGGCAGCTGATCGATGTTTCTCTCTCATGGATGTTTCTAACTCTCTATCCCTCTCCCTTCCTCTCTGTAAAAAATCAATAAAATATATTTTAGAAAAAAAAGTAAAAAATAAATCGTTATAAATCTGCTCGTTTGGACTTGGGCAAACAACTATTTGAATCTAAGGCAGTGGTTCTCAACCTTCCTGATGCCGTGACCCTTTAATACAGTTCCTCATGTTGTGGTGACCCCCAATTTCATTGTTACAAATTGAACATAAAGCATAGTGATTAATCACAAAAACAATATGTAATTATATATGTGTTTTCCGATGGTCTTAGGCAACCCCTGTGAAAGGGTCATTCGGGCCCCAAAGGGGTCTCGACCCACAGGTTGAGAACCGCTGATCTAAGGGAAAGCACTTGCCCAATAGATTGCACAGAATTATTAAGACACTTACTGCCACCTGGTGACAACATAAGCTAATTGCAGGAAAAGCACCTGTAGACTTTGTTTTTATCCCCAACTTTGCAAATAAAGATACATTTTCCCACCTACTTTTATCCTGTCTTTTAAGGTGATGTGAACTCTTAAAGCTATAAAGATGAAGACTGCCAGATTAGTTGATTCAACAAATCATTATCCAGCATCTACTTGGTATCAGGCACTATCCTAGGCACTGGGGATACAGAGGTGAATTAGAGAGTCAATGACTATGCTCTCGCGATGTTTAAATTCTGGTGAGAAGATAGGTCATGAAGAAATGAATACGATAATTTCTGCTGTTGTTAAGTGCCATATGAAAATAAAGCAGAGTAATGTGGTAAAGAGTGACTGGGCAGGTTGCTCAGAAAAAGCTTCTTTGAGAAGGTGACATTTGAAATAAAATCCAGCCTTGCAGAGATCTGAAAGAACATCATTCCAGGGAGTGAGAACGGTAACTGTGAACGCCCTACAATGAGAGCAACTGTTTGTTTGTAGTGACCCGAGGAGAGATTGGTAAGATGTTAATTCAGAGAGAGAGGCAGGGCCTACATTATGGAGGACCACAAACAGTAATTTGAAATTTATACTAAGTGCAATAGGAAGTTGCAAGAAATTTAAACACGAGGACACAAGGTTTTGCAGCCCCTCTCTTCAAGAGTTGGAGGTATTTTCCCATCTGAAATCAGGACTGGCCTTGTGACACCTTTCACCTCAGAATGGGGCAGAAATGATGTGATAATTCTGAAGGCTCAGCCTCAAGAGGTCCTGCAGCTTCCATCTTTACCTTTTTGAGCTGCTTTGGCCACCAGGTAATAAATCCCAGGCTGGACTGCTAAATGTAAGTGATCATATAGAGAACAAGGCCTGGCCAGTAACCACACCAAAGTCACAGATATGTGAATAAGGAGGAATTAATACTCGTGAAACCCAAAAGTTGTCAAATGACTGCAGCTTCATGTGTGAACCCAGGCACTTCTAGCAGAAGAACTACCCAGCTGAGCCCAGCCTAAGCTACTGACCTATAGAATTATGATAAATAATAAGTTATTTCAAGCCACTAAGTTTGGGGATGATTTGTTATATAATAATAGATGACTAAAACAGAAGTCATTGGAAAATTTTAATCTGAGGGGGTGCATGTTCCAATATACATGTTAAAAGGTCACTTTCGCATGTCACACTCTGAGGGAACCATTGGGGATCAAAAAGGGGAAATGCCAGTGAATCTAAGATATCAAGAAGGAAACACCAGCCCTAACCGGTTTGGCTCAGTGGATAGAGCATCGGCCTGTGGACTGAAAGGTCCCAGGTTCAATTCTGGTCAAGGGCATGTACCTTGGTTGAGGGCACATCCCCACTGGGGGGTGTGCAGGAGGCAGCTGATTGATGTTTCTCTCTCATCAATGTTTCTAACTCTCTATCCCTCTCCCTTTCTCTCTGTAAAAAGTCAATAAAATATATTTTTTAAAAAATAAAAAAGAAGGAAACACCAGGACTCCAACCAAAATACTTGTCTAAATGGGATGCATTGCCAAGGGCTGGACAGAATGTTTTCATTCAGAAATGACCACTGGAATATTTTATTTAGCAAGGATACATGGCCCATAGCAAATGTTGCCTCCACATTAAAATGGAACTGATAGAATCAAACCCTCTTCTGAGTAGAGCAAGGTTTGCCAAGTCCCCTTACAGCCCTGGTCCTCTGAATGAAACTCCTTCTGCAGACTGATTGCATTTCTGTAGAAATTGGTGAAGCCACTAGAGAGGTAAACCCAAGAGCAGAGTTTAAATCTAGAAACAAGAATCAGTAATTTATTTCCAGATCTGGCCACGACGTAACAGTGGGTGTCAGTTTCACTCCCCCACCACAAATAACTATAAAACAACACAAAACATTGCTGAGAAAAAATTAAAGAAGACCTAAATAAACAGAGTAATATGCAATGTTCATGGTTTTGAAAATGCAATATTGTTAAAAAATCAATTTTCCCCCATTGACCTCTAGATTAAATGAAATCCCAATCAAAATTCTACCAGGCATTTTTTTTTAAATTAATATACCCATTTTGAAATTTCTATAGAAATGCAAAGGAGTAGAATAGCATAATAATCTTACAATAAAAGAACAACATTGAGAATTTTACACTCCATGGTTTCAAGATTTAGTATAAAGCTAAAATAATCAAGCAGGTTTGGTATTGGCATCAAGATAGATAAATATATTAATGGAACAGAGTTGAGTCCATAAATAGACCCACACTTCTATGGTCAATTGATTTTTAACAAAGATGTCAAAACTTTTCAGTGGGAAAATAGTCTTCTTTAATAAATGGTATTGCAACAACTGGTTCTTCATGTAGAATAACGAATCCAGATCCCTATTTCACATCATATACAAAAACATTCTGGATGAATTATAGTTTTAAACTCTACACTTGGGTTTACCTCTCATAGTGGCTTTCCCAATTTCTACAGAAATGTAATCAGTCTGCAAAAGGAGGTCCTCTAGTGCTGATGGGTGTGGTTTGTGGGACAATAAAGTCATTTAATTCACTAGCCTAGGACAAACAAGGCACCTTAAGACCAAATCCAGCTCCTAATCCTAGAATAACAGCCCAGCTGTCATAAGCATCTGCTTGGCCTACTGCTGTGCTGTGCTATACTTCTCTTGCAGACCTCGCCCGCAGGGAGAAGTAGTTAACATGGGCAGACTTCATGTGTTTCTGGGCTCTCTGGCCGAAACTCCATCTTTACTACTATTTTAATACCAAACCTCTCTCTGACTTCTAAGACTACCTTTCTTACTTATGCCTGCTAGCCTCATGCCTATCACCTGATGCCCAGAGGAAGATTTTCGGCCAGGGTCAAGTTTTAAATAATCGTGTGTGTGTGTGTGTGTGTGTGCTAAGCACACCATGACATGCTGTAATTATGCCAATGAGGAATTATTTTCTAAACTTTCTCACCAGTTTATCAAAAATCCAAACAGAAGATTCTGAAAACAAGTGAACTCAGCTCAGTATTTCTGACATAAAAATGGTGAGACTAAAGGGGACATGAAGGAAAGCGTAAGTCCCACAGGAGTAAAAATGGTGACAGGAAAGGGACAAGTTTGAAGAAAAGAGAAATTCTTAAAATGAGGAAATCAGATAGGGACCCATGATGTTAGCGTCTCTGAATGAGAGCTTCGTTGGCTGAAGCAGCCCGTGTTAGCTTTGGTGAGATTGATGCTGGCCAAGGAGAATGTTTCTTTGTGTTGTAAGTCTATAGAGAAAAGAGTTTGGCAAAATTACTTTCTCTCCCTTCTCTGCATGTAAAATCCATTATAAAACTCGAGGCCATCTCTCTACTCTAGAGAAAAAGAAAGTAGTTACAAAGAAGACAGAAGAATGTCTTCACACTTATGCACAAAAGAAGGCCAATTAGACCCCTCAATGGGGGAGAGTTTCCGGAGCTTGTTTCTGTCAGGAACAAAGAAAAGCCTGGCCATGGACCAGCTACCTTTAGACAAGGAGCCAAATCAGAGTCATAGGGATAAGAGACCTGAAGAGTGTGTTGGAATGTAAGGCACGGGCTGTCCTCTGCCATCTTCCTCCGGGCTTCCTCACGAGGGAGCAGAATTCTCCCGGTTCAGCAGAGACGCTTGCTCACCCAGAGCACTTAGGAGAGGACACAGTCTAATTCTGTCTCCATTCTTCTCAGAACTGACTTTCCCCTCTGTGTTCCTCATTCTTTTTCTACTTTTCTATTCCAGGTT